ATTCACCATAATAACTATTGAACGGCAACATTTCACTGCTAACGTCGGTTTTCCGGTTTACATTATGATTATTTCATGTCTTGATATGATATTTGAAGTCTTAATTATTTTCCATATTTTGGAAAAGAAGTTTAAGAAGTTTGTAAAACGAGGTTGGTGGGTAATGTACTCATTCCAGGCGATTAAAGGTGTAATTAACTACTGTTCACTGTGCAGCGACCTGGTGAACCTTGTGCTGACGGCGGAAAGATACATGATTGTGAGGCACCCGGTTTTTTGGCATAGTCGAAGCTCGACGTGGAAACGCGGCTATCTTCAAGTTATGGTACCAACTTGTTTTCTTCTCAGCGTTGTGCGCCTTGACCAGGCGCTGAAACATTCGGTCATGACGTCGGCGGTCCCTCATGCAAATCGTACGGAAAGCATCGTAATGCCGAGCAGCCTTTCCGAGACTGTCTTCTACCATGAGTGGGTGTTCGTCAGCGCCTTCGTACTGCCTGTGATCATTCTGACGCTGGAATGCTATTTTACCTCATGCATTGTTCTCGTTCTGAAGCGCCGCCAAAATCTTGTACACAATGAATCGATCCATATGAGGCAGGTACGTTCCACACTATCTGTGGAGGCGAATGTGAGTCAAACCAGGTCCGAGGAGTCGTCTAATATGACCATCATCGTTATCATCACCGCGGTCACTTGCTCCATGGCCCAATTGGCGTACATAGTCGATTGGATCATTGATTGCAACCAAATCCTTGTAAACCCCGAGCAGGACGACATCAATATTAGATGGCTGTTAACCGTGGATATGGAGTACTACTACGGTTTCCTGATCGTCGGACTGGCAGAATTTGTTAGTCGTTGTATGCCTTTTTACTGTTACGTGACATTCAATCAAACGTTCAGAGAGCAAGTCAAAAAGTCATTATGTCGCTTTTGAATATCCTGCTTCCATGTAATGAATGAAATATTCCAACAACAGGCTTTTAGAGTTTCAATTTCTGTTGCTACAGTGCTACGTGGTTGTTGCTGAGCTGATCTGTGAAACAGTTCACACGAAAACATGCAATTGCCATCGTTACCGTCAGGACCAAATCACCCACCTGTTCGATGGTAGTCCACTTGGAAAACAATTATTCAGCCAGTTATTTTCTGAAGCTCAACACGCGCCAACGACATAAATCATATCTACATTTTAAACGCAAGGTAGTTTTAGGCCAATTAATTTTTAAAATTTAATCAGACTATATTGATCACTACGTTTAGTGCCAAGAATACAGAGTACAAAAAGAATCACCAACGCGCGTTTCGTTTCCAAAAATATTGATGAACTCTCTTGAAACCTTAGCCATATCTGCAAGTCCTCCCGATATCATACTCAGTACTTCCTGTAGATATACTGATCTTATGCTCATTCTGCATGATCACTCCTTTAACTTTTTGAATAATTTCACTCACTTTTTCACTGCAATACAACTAAAGAGATGGGTAGGAGCATCTGATGGATCAGACAATAATAGACACCTTCCGTTTTTGAAACCTTAATCAAACATATTTTTAATTAATGATTTCAGTTGTAGCGTTCGTAGAAAATCATAGGACTCTAACAAAAAATCGTATTCTACCTCTAGAACACGTTGCGTTGTCATATAAAATCCAATAAATAGCATAAGTCTAGCAGCTCAAAGATATTGTACTGACTACGTCGAGTAATCTAAAGAATTCAATTACTTAATCCGAATATTCAGCAGAAATGCGGACTCCTTTCATAAAAAACACATGAGCCATTTAAGATTAGATTTCACGGCACACTGCACCGCCCTATTCTCTTAGTATTCGGAGGGGGGAGAGGGATGGGGGATTTAAGCAGGCAGTTACTCAATAGTGGTCGAAAATTTGCAGTAATAGACACATCTCGTATCATTTTACCCACTAGGGCTATCTCACACTCATCATGAAAGATGCTTCCGGAGCAGGTTACTGGGGTCACTTG